TGGATTCTTTTCCGGAGGATCCGACCTCCGGTACGACGGAACAGCAGAACCAGTTGATACAAGTGTGCTTAGTATCAGCTGTACAAACTCGCCTACAGTCATGCCTTTGAAATCATCAAGTCCACTCATTTTCAGTACCTCGTTGGCTGCGGGTGTTACTTGGACTAAATTTCTTGCCGGATTCGTAAGGGCGTCTTTGTATGTCCTTGTGGTGGCCGCATCGTTGTGTCGGCGTTGGGCCTCCCGAAACGAGACTCCTTCCTTCACTTTGATGTTCAGGACAGCTTTCGCTGACAAGAAGGACTGACAGCTGCGATATGACGCCGCGTGACCCTGACCACAGTTGACGCATTTCACGGTTTCTGATTTACACTCAGAGTGTTGGTGCCCTATTTCCGCACACCTTCCGCATCTAACTTCTTTCCAGCACTTGTCCGTGAAGTGACCATACGTCTGGCATCGGTAGCCGTCTGGCATCGGTAGCATCGGACTGGGTCGGGTACATAGACCCTAACAGGGACCGACTGATATCCCACGCGGACCCTATCTGGAACTCTCGCAGAGCAAAACGTCAGAATAACTGAGTCAGTATCGGTCAGCTCTCCTCTCTCTCTCCTCTTGATACGTCTCACTGCCGTCACCCCTTCCTCACACAAGCCCTCAGCAACATCTTCATCACTCACGCCACGAAGGTCCCGGCAAGTAATCACACCCTTGGAGTAGTTCTTAGAGGGGTGAGGGTGCACCGATACGGGCACCCCAACCTCTCCCTGTCCTCGCACTCTGTACATAAGTGTGGTCGTTTTAAGCATGCGCTGGATTTCGCGGTCGTCTGTTAGATGCACTCCTATGCCTCCGTCCGCATACGAAAAGACATCCTTGGGCGTCCCGATCTTGGAAAATGCTTGTTGGCGCTGAAATGGGTTTAGTCGGAGCGGTACTGTCCTTCCTTGGTCATCTACTTTGGCGGATCTTACGGCCAGAAACTGGGGTAGTGGACGACGGTCGGGGTTTGGGGGTTGGTTGATGATAAAGTATCCATAAGTATGTGTTTATATCCGGCGCGCTGATTCCCCGCCCACCACGGAGCCCAACACGGGGACGGTCCACTTCTAAGAGAGGAGCCGCCAGGGCTACCAGCACGCTATACGCAGGCCAGTGTGCCAAAAGAGTTGCTGCGAGATCCACCAGGCACGTGTCTGCGGGCGCCAGTGCCTCGGTTCGCAGGTGCTAACCGGGCACCCTGATGACAAACCGAGGTACGGCCCCTTTAATAATGTCAAGAGGCAGACACTGCACCCGGCAGCTCCCCCCCTCAACACCCGTCACATGACCTGCTTGCCTCCAAGCCAGTGTGTCACGAAAACACGACGCCTGACCAGCCGATTTCCTCGTGTGGAGACTTCACGAGGCATCCGCAGGATCACAAAGTCGGGCCAAAGCCACGTGTTGGTAAGCTGCCCCGACCGACCCGCAGGGCAACTCCCTCAGTGACCAGGATCCCTTCATCACTACCTGCGGACCCAACGGGGTACGGCGAGACCCAGATAAGACTGAGAAGCTGGGGCCGAGGGGTTGCTAATCCCTACTCTGAACGAGTCAGAGCCCTTGCGGGAGGCACGTTTCGTCTGGCCCCTCCTCTTTGGCCGGAAGGGGCGCTTTACAAGCCTCCCCAACCGCCCGCAGGATCATTGGAGCACGCAATCCCCCCACCACGGAAAGGTAGTGCCTCACGGGGGGGCTAAATGTAGCTGGAAAGACTATCCAGTTTCCTGAGATAATTCGCTCATGTCAACATCGTTTTCCCCGGGGAGGCGAAATCGCAGGAGCGGGTTGGCATTTTGGGTCGTTGGGGAGGCATCTGCCTACTTGAGGTAGATGCCAAAATACGACCGGGGCACAGGCTGGTCAGAATTTCGAATGTGAATCACTGGTCAGTAGTGTACCAGAACTTTCACGCGCCTAGACTTCACCAGGTGCCTTTCAAGAGATCAGTTTGTCGCAGCATTTTACGTGGAAACAAATTCGGAAGCTTCAGGTTCTAACTGCCAAGAATGACGTGATAAAACCCATCAAACCGGAGTTTCCCCTCGTTGGTGGCCTCTGCACTGGCCCGGCGGTCCCACGCATGACTGACTGCGAAATGATCGTTTGACTGCTTTGCTGCATGTTTATGGATCGGCATCACTATTTATTGGTGTGTAAACCATAGATTGGACATATGCTGCAGTATCTAGTTACGATTACCTTCCCTTACACCACACCACAGCAGAAAATAAGCTTTCGGGAAGCTGCCTGCCTTAGGTTTGAATTGGTCTACCGGGCAGTCATTTGCCCCTCATTCACCGCAGCCGACTTGACTCGTTTTTGTAACCAGGCAGGGGTTCATCCGGAGTCTTGCCAAGGGGAACACAGGGTTGACAAAAGCCTCCTGATGGTGACCCAGAACAGAACCAGAACAGAAACAGAAACCAGAAGCTACCGCGATATCTATTCCGTTTGTATTTTGAAGTAAATAAACTGCACATATCAGGCGTTGAACGACTGCATGGAAGAAACCACTGGGGCTGTTCAGTTTAGAACGGTTCAGTGGACTCTTTTTAAACCGAAAGAACTCAGAAAATTGAGTCAAACAACAGTCTGAAGGAGGCGGGGCTCGCCATTTTCAGGATTTCATGCGAAACGTCTGACAGAATGGACAGAACTGACAAAAATGTCCTGTAAAGGGCGCATAAAAATACTTGCTTTAATGGCTATCCTGCCTTTTTGACTCAATGGCCATGAGTATTTTTTACCCAACACAAAAATGGCGGATCTCTTTTTGGGATTACCATAGCCCCAGTCATGTCAAGAATCCATCGTCCACCCAACAATACTTTGTCACGAGTGGCCTCTTGCGACTTAGAGATATGTTGCTGACGTCACTAGTGACCCAGCAATGACACACCAAGATGCCTAGGAAACCGAGCTTCATCAAGCGGCCATCAAAATAGTCTCCTGCTGTGGTAAATACAGCTGACGACAATCCAAGTTTCGTTTATTTCGTAGCCTTCTTTGGTTATCGCGAAGATAGATAGTTAGATAAACGGCAGATTAATATTCTATAGGAACTGAGCACATTGTAGCTGCAGACCAGGGGGACGTGAAAGGGAAATAACGCATGTCCTTGAGGACTACAACAGGTACTTAAGATTTTCCGACCTCAGGACAACTATGACATTTGCGAAAAGCTGCGCAGACTATGTGGAGATGCATATCCACGCATATGCAAGCTAAAGCTGACGCTTAATTCATGCGCAGAGCCCAGTTTTCCTGCACAAACATCGTGTGAAGGAAAGGGCCGGGAAAGGTTTTTTTGCAGAAACGCGCAAATGACGATCTTACAACAGCTCACACTTTCAACACGTATCTCCCGCTCAGGTGCAACCAGCGTGCTCCACGCCGCCACCCAGGCCCGGGAGCTCCTCGTGCATGCGGCTCAGCGGCGGCCAGCACACCATGCCGACGATGATCAGTTTCTCGGTTACGACAGTGCCGATCATGACTGGGGCCTTCCCTCCGCGCTGACAGGGGCCTCTACTTCTGTCCTGACAGGGTTCTGGCAGTGACCTCTCTTCTGTCTTGGTAGGTAGAGTCTCTCCCCTATCCTGGCAGGGGCCTCTCCCCTGTGCTGACAAGGACCTCCCCTCTGTTCTGATAGGGGCCTCTCCCCTAGCCTGAAAGGAGCCTCTCCCCTGTCCTGGACAGGAGCCTCTCCTCTGCACTGAGTGGCCTTTCCTTTGTCCCTGACCGCGGCCTCTCCTCTGTACTGACAGAGACATCTCCCCTGTCCTGGCAGGGATGTCCTCAATCATAGAAGACACAATGAGCCTGACATCTCCAGAGCACCCGGACATATTATGGTGCCGCCTCGTGAGCTGCGCATGCGAAGTAGTGCGACACGAATATTTGCTTGTACAAAGAGAGGCGATGTTACAAACCGCGCTGTAAAGAAACACAATGTAGCGTTGCGTCTACGGCTAAATACGATGGTAAGAATTAAGTCTACGAAGCAATGGAGCATAGGCGTGCGTGCGGACAAATTAAATAAAGAATTGCGTGTGCGAAGAAATAAAATAAAGAATGATGTGGGAGAGACAATGCGACACAGGGTATTCACGGGGCCCGTATTCACAGAGCTTGTACAAGTTCTGTGAATACGAACATCACACGTGCAAAGCTTTGCATACAGCAATCTGACCGCTCTCAGTTCTGCGATTGCGAATTTCCGTGATGCGAAGGTGTGCGTATATCCTCCAAGACGTGTGGCACAACGTTCTAAGTGGACAACGATTGCCTGCCAGAGGAAGTGCGACACAAACCCTGCCCTACGCCCTAGCTGCCCGCTCCATGTTTGGTTTTCTGTTGGGTATGGCCGACAGACTTTAGCCAGAGCAGCTTTCCGGCCGGCGCTCCCAAGCTGGACGAAATCCAATCAGTATGCTCAGCCCTTTTAAAATGCTGACGAGAATCGAAGCCCAAAAGGATTCGCGACGATCACACCTTTGATATCAATCCCCCATCTGCATGCATTGCCTGCTCGCAAGGCTTTAGTCGTCTGACTGTTTGGGACCGGGGTTCCCGCCGGCCTCCTTTTGTTGTTTCCTTCAGCGCAGGAGTCAAGCGGGCGGAATAAGAATGCGGCCCTCCAGGGCCATTTTTCAGGTCCGATGAAACAAGTTCTCCGGGATCGCAGAACCTAAATCAGCCTCGGCGGCGCGTGCCGGTTGACGGACGGTCCCGCTGTACCCGACATCTGCCGCTGGGACGCACCTGAGGCGGCTCAAGTCGCAACGGATGCCGTGCGACCGGCGCGGAACTGACCACTGGCCACTGACCACTGACCACCGACCCCTGACTGATCACTGACCCAGCCCCAGCAGGGGAGGACGGGGGAGGGGCGAGGCATCCGCTGCAGGCTCGGGAGGCGCTGTTCAGACGGGGGGCGACACTGACCGACGCTCGGCACGAGCACGTATATTCAACACTCGGCCACAGCGTTCGGCTCTCATCAGTGCGCTCCGTAACAACACGCGACGACCGGCGAGGTCGGGGCACGGCCGGCCGGTCGCGGGCGACGTATCGTCAGACAATAAATAGCAGTACAACTCCCTCAAATTGGGGCGGAACGATTTCAATACTGAGATGAGAATCTGGGTATGTCTTTGCCGCTCGCTGCGTGCTGGGTGATCGACCACACACGAGTGTGACATTAAAATAAAACAACAATGGAAACGAGATACGCATTGGACAAGTCATCAGTCAGCGACCACTTAACATCAAGTGAGCTCTGGTAGAATATAAGGTGGCATTTAAGACTATCCCTAGCTCGCTTTGACGGATTACAAAGTAGTAGGGGCTGATGGCATGACATTTACCAAGATAAAACAACTGAGGTAGGTGAAATCGGAGTCGGCGTGGGAGCGGACAGCGATTCACCAAGCGTGAAACTGTTGTAGCAATCGTCGTTGCATATTGTCAGAAGAGCACCACTAACCTTCCTAAGCCTGAAGCCAGAGAAAACTAAGCCTTCCTGAAGCGTCCTGCAGAGAATCACACGACCCGTTCGGACTATTGCACGTGAAAACGGCGCAGCTCAGAATGGCCAACAACGACGCAATCCGCACGGTCGCGGCCGGCGAGAAACGCGCTCCACAACCTTATCACTCCGGTCCAGACGCCCTGATTTCTCCTCGCAGCCAGAACGACACCGTGGTAACGCAGCAATCGGCAGCCACCGCGCTGGCACACACATCGGGGCCTACATCTACCGACGTGGCGGTCACAGCGCCCCATCCACGTCTGCTAGGCGATCTACACGCGGCGCGGAGAGAGTCAGACGGCGAGGCAGGACGGCCGCTGCCGCCGCCGCTACGGCAGATCCATGTTGTCGATGACGGCCCGCTGGAACTCGATCGTCGTGGACTGGCCCCGCACGTCCTTCGTCCTCACCTGCCGGCGGCGGGGCGAGCGTCACGGTTGCGGCCCGGGCCGGCGGGGCACTGCATCCTCTGGGGCCTAGGTCCGGATCGAGGCGGGGCGCACATAATCGGATCGCAGGCCCCTGGGGACGCTCGCTACGCGGCGCACTGCAGTTGGCACGCCCTCGAGCTCAGGGACAGCACGCGCGGGTGGGGTGGCACGAGAGATCGTGCCCCTGAGCTCACGGAAAGCAAGTGCGGGTGGCGTGGCACGCGGGGGAAGAGGATTGTGTCCTTGAGCTCACGGACAGCACGTGCATGGTGGAGTGGCACGGGGAGGACGAGGGTCATGTCTTCGAGCTCGCAGACAGCACGTGCGGGTAGAGTGGCACGGGGAGGGCGAGGATCATGTCTTCGAGCTCGCAGACAGCACGTGCCGGGGAGGACGGGAATCACGCGTGACCGGATCACGGCACACTTTGTTAGTCCTGACCGCCTGCGGGACGGCTTTAATCGGCTAGCGCGTAAGTTCCTGACCGCCTGCGGGACGGCTATGATCGGCTACCGCGTTTGCTTCTGGTTGGCTACGGGACGGCTGTGATCGGCTAGCGCGTCAGTTCCTGACCGCCTGCGGGACGGCTATGATCGGCTATCGCGTTTGCTTCTGGCTGGCTACGAGACGGCTGTGATCGGCTAGCGCGTCAGTTCCTGACCGCCTGCGGGACGGCCATGATCGGCTGCCGCGTTAGCCTCTGGCTGGCTGCGGGACGGCTTTGATCGGCTACCGCGTTAGTTCATGACCGCCTGCGGAACGGCTATGATCGGCTACCGCGTTAGCTTCTGGTTGGCTGCGGGACGGCTATGATTGGCTACCGCATTAGCTTCTGGCTGACTGCGGGACGGCTATGATTGGCTACCGCGTTAGCTCCTGGCTGACTGCGGGACGATCATGTATACAGCACGGCAGCGTGCAAAGCCACAACATTCGTGGGACCCTGGCTGACTGCGTAGTGATCCTGACCAGCACAGTCAAACTCTTGCAGCATGTTCTCACAGACGCTGCCCCCTCCCCCCTCGAACTGTATCGCTGCAGCACAATGGGAAGCGCGGGTCGATACGTTTGCGTGAAGCAGTCCCCTAACTTTCCCCGAACTGCTTTCGTAATAATGCTCAGCTTTAATACAGAGCTTCATCCTGAGCTACCAAAAAATGACGGAAACGACAAAACGTTCGTCTCTATTTGCGAGCTCATCAAGGAGATAGCATGGCCTAAGTGTGTCTGCTTTGCGCGGCAAAGCCCCCGACCGAGCGTAGATGAAGACAAAAGGCACGTTTCCAAGATGCAGGCAGCAGAAGGAGCTATGTGGGAACGGTCCGCATGAAAATGTGAGGACAACAGCGAGCTCGCATGCGGTTATTCTCGTCGAGGACAATCGATTAAGCTGTCCATTGTCCTTTGTGGGATGCATACATTAATTGGTGCCGGCTAAAACTGTCGCCGCCGTTAGCATCCAGCGGAAATTAAATGGGCCGTTTTCACCACAAGCATACATTACCCAGTTCTAAAGCCCTCAACGTGATGGCTCGCCTTCAAGAACCGAAATGGAACGTTCATCATCGACTGCGCTTGACAGGTTAGGTGGTTCAATCAACTCAAACCATAAGTGATCGCCACTAGCTTGCAACTGCGATACAAATTTAGTAAGTTTCCTTGCTGATTCTGAACGTTGGTTACTACGTTACGAAAGTTTCTATCGATAGCATTTAGTAATTTGTCTATTCGCTTATACATAAAACTGTCCCAGAACTGTTGACGCACTCAGCCCTTGAAGCTTACACGACGCCGCCCGCCTATCCCTCGGCAGGGGGACCGGGCACGAAGAATCAAGTCTCACTGCTCTGGTTTCCCACACACGCATCTTACAGGGAGTGTTCGACATTTATATGGGGTTTTGGACCGAAACAGCCACCTTGAAGACCTTTTGATGCTGTTCGCAACCCTGCCCTTGTGAAGACCTAAGCCCTTCTCGTTTCCGAGCCACATGCCCACGAAAATGGGAAGGGTATTTCTGGGGGAGAATTTGAGAGTCAACTTGGCATTCATGACGCCATAACAATGTCATTCAAATCCTGCCATTGCATAAGCCATGCGGCGATGAAGGCTAAGAAAAATCAGAGTTGTCGAGGCGTTTATATCTGGCGTTCGGGAGCACGATTTCCAGATATAACGGCCGTCAATTGGCTCTTAATGAATGTTGCGCGAGGTACGATGATACAATCAGACCATAACCCATTGAGGAGCATATTTACTAAACAGAGAATTGTGCTGTCTAAACCAGTTTTTCCACTTAACAAGTATACCAATAGTTATGCCAGCTCTTTCCATCATATCTGATGTATGATATATGATGTATATGATATATATATATATATATATATATATATATATGTGTGTATGTGTGTATGTGTGTATGTGTGTATGTGTGTGTGTGTGTATGTGTGTGTGTGTGTGTGGTGCGTGTGCGTGTGCGTGTGCGTGTGCGTGTGCGTGTGCGTGTGCGTGTGCGTGTGCGTGCGCGTGCGCGTGCGCGTGCGCGTGCGCGTGCGCGTGCGCGTGCGCGTGCGCGTGCGCGTGCGCGTGCGCGTGCGCGTGCGCGTGCGCGTGCGCGTGCGCGTGCGCGTGTGCGTGTGCGTGTGCGTGTGCGTGTGCGTGTGCGTGTGCGTGTGCGTTGTGCGTGTGCGTGTGCGTGTGCGTGTGCGTGTGCGTGTGCGTGTGTGTGTGTGTGTGTGTGTGTGTGTGTGTGTGTGTGTGTGTGTGTGTGTGTGTGTGTGTGATATATATGATAATCATCATTGTGATAATTTCGTCACATCTTCAACATCTTAGCCTCTTCGCCACCGCACCATCGACACTGCCATCACCAGCCTGACGCGGCCAGCGGCCAGACGCGGTGATGGTGCGTGCGGCAGCCGCCACCGGGAACAGTCCCAGACACGGACACTCAGCGGCCGCCGCCGGGGAAGTGACCCTCCAAGAGTTGCCTCCCCGTGCAGAACGGTGCGCAGCGGGTCATCTTCCCGCGAAACACATGCAGCCGGACTTGTCTGTGAGGTCCCCAGCCACCGAGAGCGCGGGGCCCGGAGGCGACGGCGCTGGGTCCTCAGGGCCGTCACCGCGTGCTTCGCTACAGCTACACACACGAACACACACACACAGACCGCAGCGCGACACGGCACAAGCGCCTGGACACACACCACGCACAGCACCCACGCGGTCCACTCACAGGGCCGGTCCGGCCGACCAAGACACGCCTCTAGCTACGGCTAGCGCTAGATCAAAACGCGCGTCGGTGGCGGTGCGGTTAGTCGGGCGAGCAGACGGCAGACACCGTGACCCCGTGACCTCGACGGGGCCCGCTCACTTGAAGTCCAGCGAGTGAATGACGGAGTTCATGAAATCGGACGTGGTGTGTTGGCCGCCGATGTCCTTGGTCTTGGCCTGAGCGGGCACGCGGCCGTCAGCGGGCACCAGCCGCGGCCCGGCGGCTCCCAGCACGTCACAACCCACACAGAGCGGCGCGTCCGGCCACCGCCGGCGGCAGCACAGACACGTCAGCAGCGGTACAAGGCTGGCCAGGAGACAGACCCCCGCCCCCATACACACACCCAGCCGGCACACGGCCCACCCAGATCCTGTGCGACACCGACGCACATGCCACACGCCATACAGCGCGCCACGAGCCGCCGGAGGTGCCCTCTGAGGGGGCTCCGGCTGCGCCCGGTCCGGCGGTTCCCCGGGTCTCGGTCGGGGCCGGGCGAGGCTTGCCGGTCGGGGAGTGGTGACCGGCGCCGTCCCCTGTACGAGCGGCGTCGCGCGCCGCCCCGCCGTCGGCCGCGCGGACGGCGCCGACCTCCAGGCGTCGCCGCTCGCCTGCTGCATCAGGCGACGGTGCTGGATCGCAGACGGCGCGGGGACCGGAGTCAACAGCTCGGCGCTGGCCGCCGGTCGGCGCCGAGGCCATAGGAGCCGCGCTTGGAGGAAGGCTCGAAATTGAGCGAGTCGCTGCGTCGCGGAGAGGACCTCCAGCGGAGGCCCCTGGGCAGGTCCACGTAGCCGCGCACCATAAACCGACCCCGCCAGGGCGGATATTGAGTTTGCCAGGTGGCGACGGCAGCACCGCCTGTGGTGGTCCCATGCCGTGCACCTACGGC